CTAGGACTTGTCCTATATACTTTCTCTCTTTCTTCTTTTCTATGTTTCTATTATAACAAATTGAGGGAAGGAAGGCCAACCACAACAATTTCTCGCCCGGGCCACACTCTTCTCATTTTCTCGCCCGAGCCACCTAGAAACCCTATTATTTTTTTATATGTACAATCCTCGAAACCACGTCCGGAGAATGTGGCTCGGACGAGAATCATTGTGGCTGGCCTCCCTACCCTTGATCACGTGTTAAAATACGTCAATTCAAATAGTTGAATAATTCCTTTAGATCCCTGTAAAGGGACTGTAAGCGTAATTTGAAGTGATCCTTCATGCAAAGATGGCAATGCCCGATTCACAACGGTACACATTAAAGCTTTGTCTGATCAAGTATGAATTAGATTTCCATGTTTTTATTTCTTTAAATTAATTGTTTCTATTTGTGGGTTCTCTGCGAAGGTGACTTGCGAGCATTTCTTTCTCATCAGAAGCAATGAAGAAATTCACAGAAATAAACACTTCTCGAGTCAAGAAATACGAGGGTATCTTCCACAATTTTGATCAGATTAAGGTTTCAATGGTACCGTTGTAAATCGAGCATCGCCATCTTTGTATGGAGGGTAACTAGAAATTACGCTTACAGTCCCTTTAAATGGATTCAACAATTAATATTTTCTTTATTTTCTTTCTTTTAGAACAACATACATTTCCTTTTAGAACAGCATACATTTCCTTTTAGAACAACATACATTTCCTTTTAGAACAACATACATCTCTTTTTAGAACAACATGCATATTTCCTTTTAGAACAGCATACATTTCCTTTTAGAACAACATACATTTCCTTTTAGGACAACATACATTTCCTTGTAGGTGTAAGTTACAGGGTTACCTATAAAGGAAAAGACGACGACTGTACGGAATTTATACTGTCAACTTTATTATATTCATGATTCCCTGCAACTGTAAACTTATTTCTTTCTTTGTTAAATCATTTAATCATTTAATAAGCTATTAGAAGACTTAATTCAACCTTAGGTCTTATTCAAGAGTTTTAGGTCGTCTTTACAGTCTCATCTTTTGTGGGTAACCCTGTGTATAATCAGGCAGTACCTAATGATCTAATGGTTGTCAGCTGTTTATTGAGAAGTTCCCGGGGTAAACTAGAGTACTTTGGTAGACTTGGGTTTAGGTTGATAAAGTATACAGGGTAGAATATACCCAGGATAGAGTTGATCAGGATAGAAGGGTTCTCCTCCATTGGGATATCTAGACAATTATCTATCAATCTATCAATATATCTATCTATCTATCTATCTATTATCTATCTATCTATCTATCTATCTATCTATCTATCTATCTATCTATCTATCTATCTATCTATCTATCTATCTATCTATCTATCTATCTATCTATCTACAGGGTGTCTAAAAAAACAGTGAATAAGGGTCTACAGACTCGTTTGTAATCGGATTTTTCAAAATTGAGACCATTTCTAAAATCTACGTACAATAAATGAAAATTTTTTTAGGCTCCTAAAGTTTTCAACTGGAATGAGTAAAAGATAATCTCTGTTTGCACATAAGTCAAGGGTCTATGCAGACAATTGTTTGTAAACGGACTTTTAAGATTGAGTCCATTTTCTACGAACAATTTTCGATTAAATGAGCCCAATTTTAGACAATTCTAGATCTAAAAATAACAAATGTACTGTAATAAACTGTAACCTAACATTGAATATAAAATTGTGCAAACGGAGATTATCTTTGACTTTTTACTTCGCTCCAGTTGGAAACTTTAGGAGCCTATAAACTTGTTTTTTTTTCAGATCTATATACAAGCCTAAAATTTAAATCATTGAATCGGAAATTCAATATAAAAAATGGTCTCAATCCGATTACAGTCAAGTCTGTAGACCCTTATACAAAATTGTGTAAACGGAGCTTATCTTATTTTTACCAAATTACTCACTCCAGTTGGAAAATTTAGGAGTCTATAATATTGTCAGTTTTATATCTGCTAGCCTAAAAATGAACTTATTGAATTGGAAATTGTACGTAGATTTTAACAATGGGTTTAATCTTGAAAATCCGATTGCAGACCCTTATTTTCCGTTTTTTTAGACACCGGCCCTGTAGCTATATGTCTGTCTGTCTATCTTGGTTTCTGTCTGTATGTGCGTCTGTCTTTTTTCTCTAATTGTCTTTCTTTCACCTATTATTCTAATCTCTCCAAGTGTTGGTTCCGTTCTTGATCCCTCGTAAGAAACTGATTTAGCGTAGGAGGTATAGGATCTCTCGTTCTTTGGAGATCCTTCAATCATACTTCGACTGAATGAAAATAATAATAAGCAGTAGGCAATAGGCACCCTATGGAAGCATGTTTTTTTAAAGATATAAAACCTTATATTTCTTGCACAATGCACACTCCTAGATACAAAATAAATTTAATTGTTTAAAGGGACTGACAGTGTAGTTTTAAGGGACCTTCCAATTCTTGCAAAGGTACCCTTGAAACCTTTATCTGATCGATATTGTGGAAGATATTGTCGTTTTACTAAGTTTAAAAGTGTTGATGATTCCTATATGTTTTCAGTAGAAAACTAAAACATGATCCAAAATAATCTGTTTTTAAAACTATAAATTTATTGATATTGATATCTGATTCATACTTGATCAGACAAAGCTTTTAAAGCCGGGTACCGTTGTGAATGTGGGTATTGCTCTCTTTGAATCCCTTAAAATTACGCTTACAGTCCCTTTAAGAAAGGGCCCAGAGACATCAAATGCAAATTTCCTCTATACCGTTGCAACCGTGTTGGCACAAAGGTTATAAGGTTAGGAAAGTTATTTGCTGTTTAGTATTCTCTGCGTTTATAATGGAAGCAGTTCTCTCTGGGCGGTATTTGTAAACAAGAATAGATACATCAGATCAGTGTTACTCTAGTATCCGAGTAGGATAAAAGCATTTAGTTTTGATAACTTTTAATAATTCACATAATAGTTTTCTATGACCAGAATATTTCATTGATTTTTTATGTAAAATGGATCCCATGTCAGGCTGTGACATCCGTCTCGTGTTTACTTTACTGCCCATAGACAGTACACTGCAGTACGAAAGATGCGTAAACATCTGAAATAACTATCTTTACATTTTAATTCTTTGGTTGACACCAAGGATTTAATGCAAGGAAAGTTATTTCAGAAATGTACGCATCTTTTTTACTGCAGTGTACTGTCTCTGGGCGGTAATGTAAACACAAGACGGATGTTACAGCCTGACATGGGATCCATCTTTCACATAAAAAAAATCAATGAAATATTCTGGTCATAGGAAACTATTATGTGAATTATCAAAATTATCAAATTTACTGCTTTTAAACTCCTCGGATACTAAACGAACACTGATGCATCTATTCTTGTTTACAAATTCCGCCCAAAGAGAACTGGTTTCAATATGTAAGCAGAGTATACGCGACCGCAATTAATTTTCCTAGCATTACACCCTTGGTTGACACTAGGAATAAAAATTAATTTGCACAACGTGCAATAAAAGAAATAAATACAAAAATAAAATGCTGTTAACATCGCAGATACTTCTAGATTTTCTGAAAAGTAATAACACATCTTCTTATCATACCTTGTCCACTCTTGACCATTCCAAACTAATAAAGAAGAAGGTCCATCAACTTGATCAACTCCTTCTTCATCAACTTCATCAGCTTCAGGCCTGTCTTTATCAACGTGTGTTTTATGTACTTCAACAGAGGCAAGAACAGAAGTCCCATCAGACTCTCCAACTGGATTCATTTCTAAGGGTATATTGACAGTTCCTTTAAACTCCTCTACAATCGCTGCACATTCAACGGTTGCTTCTTTTTGTGCGTCAACTGATCCAACATCTGCTGTTCTTACATCAGCTGTAGTTACATCAGCTGTTCTAACATCAGCTGTTTTAACATTAGCTGTTCTTACATCAGCTGTTCTTACATCATTTGTTCTAACATCAGCTGATTCCAAAATGGCGGTCCTGGTTATAGGTTCATTTAAGAGATCTCCGCAACTGGTCTATAAAGGAAATAATAAAAATGTTGCAGAGATTAACACTTGCTTTTTAAAGCTACAGCACTCTGAAGTACCTGTTTTTCTTTGCTCAATCTTTCATCATTCTAATTTTTCTTATAATTTAAATTCTTTTATAATGTTTAGATTTATTTTGTGGTAATCAATTCTCTAATGTAAGTGAAAATTGTTTTTGTTTAAATATGTCAAAATCATTATCAAAATAACCGTCTCGTATTNTACAGTTTAAAGTATAAAGTATACAGTATACAGTAATACAGTGTACAGTATATAGTGTACAGTATACAGTGTACAGTATACAGTGTACAGTATACAGTGTACAGGTTACAGTATACAGTATACCGTGTACAGAATACAGTATACAGTGTACAGCATACAGTGTACAGTATACAGTATACCGTGTACAGGATACAGTATACCGTGTACATGATACAGTATACAGTATACAGTGTACGGTGTCGCTATACAGTATACAGTGTACATTACATTATACAGCATACATTTTACAGTACATATACAGTATACAGTGCACAGTATAAAGTAACCTTTATACAGTACACAGTTGACAGCATAAAGTATACAGTGTACAGTTTACAGTATATAGTGTACAGTGAATAGCGTGCAGTTTACAGTGTACGGTATACAAATAAAAGATCCTTGTGACTAAGCCTTAAGGAAAATATCGATTACAGTAACAACATTTTGAGATAAAACATCTTTTAGATTGAGAAAACATTTAATAGCAGCGCCCCTTGGTCTACGTACTATGTAAAGGTTATAAATGTGTATTTTTCTACCACCATGTTAACAATACAAACCATGCACTCATACAGTTATATAATTAAAGAGACTGAAACTTCAGTCAGGGTATTGGGATTAAACCCAGTATCGGAAACTTAAGTCAGGGTATTGGGATTAAACCCAGTATCGGAAACTTAAGTCAGGGTATTGGGACTAAACCTCATCTTCAGAGCTTCCAATGTAGGCTGGATTACTAAACACCAACCTCAGCATGCTGTTGTTTCTGACTATATCTAGATTCCTCAGTATATTCAGGGACTGTTCACCTTTCAGAACTAGTCCCGAATACAACATTAGCAATGCAGGCTTTTCCAATCTTTATCATTGATTCCTACAATCATTATCATTGTTTCCAACAATTTTTATCATTGCTTTTTACAATCTTTATCATTGATTACAAAATCTTTATCATTGTTTCCCACAATCTTTATCATAGATTACAAGATCTTTATCATTGTTTCTTAAAATCTTTATCATTGCTTTATAAATCTTTTCATTAATTTCAAGATCTTCTTTATCATTGTTTTCTACAATCTTTATAATTGTCTCCTGCAATCTATACCATGGATCACAAGATCTTTATCATTGTTTTCTACAATCTTTATCATTGTTTCTTGCAATCTTTATCATTGTTTACAATATCTTCATCATTGCTTTTACAATCTTTATCATTGCTTCCTACAATCTTTATAATTTTTTAACAAGATTATTGCGTTCTAAAATCTTTATCAATGTTTACAAGAAAACTAGAAGATCACATCTGCAGTATTTTGTAAACTTCTCCTTTAACCTACTCTAATTAAAGCACCTGTTTTTGTTTTCACGTTTTTTACAAAAATATTTGCGGAAAAAAGAAGAAAAAGAAAAATATTTTTTTAATACATGGACACGGTAAAAAAGAACATTTAATCGAAGAATAAATATTCCCATTTGGTTTGGTTTGTTTTTACTCAAATTTGATTTTAAATGAATTTTTTAAACTGATAGAATGTTTCTTAGAATTTGAAATTATTTTAAGAATAATTAAGTAATTCTAAACAATTTTTTGGCCCTGTAAATATTAGCTCGAGTAACCGCCTCTTCTTCTGACTCTTGGTCAAAAACCAGTTTAATTTCAATACATTTTTTTCTTCAATTTGTTTGATTGATTAATGGATTTTACAAAACTTTATTGATTGACTCTTTTACCTGAACACTGTACTGCAAAGGTAGAAGGGAAATGAGCAGAGGAAGAAATGTAAACTAAACTACAATTTCATGGAATTGGGATTATATCATTCTTATTATTTATTTTATGCCAGACTCTTAATATCATAATATATTTTGTCTTATTGGTTCTCCGTTTGTAATAAGTTAATCATAAACTGAACAATTAAAAAAAAATGCAACTTGGAGAATTTTATGATTTTGATACAAAAAGAACAAAATATGTTCTACTGTGATATACATTTTACGGGGCCATATAAACATACAACTATTCTTAGAAATGACCGACAGATTGGAAATATTTGATATTAATAAATTATAATTTTTTTATTTTCAATTCCAATTCCTTGAAATTCTTCGCATTGTTGTGAAAACCTAAATAAAAATAGAAAAATTTGTTGTTGCTAAATTACAATAATCATAATTAGTATTGTAGTTATCATTGTTATTATTGTGTGCAGACTGCAGAGGCCTTTTTTTTCAATCTCAATATTTATGGAATTAAATACGTTTTTATTGTCAATCTTAACAACTAAGAGAAATCAAATTTCTAAAAATCAAAATTGCCATGTAAAAATAAAAGAAAAATCAGAATTACGTATTTTGATTTGCAAAAGAAGTCAAAAGAAGTCTTTTTTTTAATATCTACGAGTGAACATCATGTGGAATTGTAATAATCGACCCCCGTTAGGCTTTTTGATTATATTGGAACTGTACGTTTAATTTCAAGTAAGTGTATCTGTTTTTGATTATATTGGAACTGTAAGTTTAATTTCAAGTAAGTGTATCTGTTTTTGATTATATTGGAACTGTAAGTTTAATTTCAAGTAAGTGTATCTGTTTTTGATTATATTGGAACTGTAAGTTTCAAGTAAGTGTATCTGTGTATCAAGTAAGTGTATCTGTGTATCAAGTAAGTGTATCTGTTTCAAGTAAGTGTATCTGTTTTTCGGGTTCAAAAAGTGTTTAATTCTTTTAATTCATACATTGCACTTATAAGGAAGAAATGCGAGAAACCACAAATCAAAATAAACAGTTTAAAGAAACATAAACATAGATACTAATTCATACTTGATCAGACAAAGCTATTAATGATAATTTTTAATTAATAAAATTGACATCTAAATGTTTTTTTTTTCTTAAAAACAGTTTAAGAACTATCGTTCTTTATGTTTCGAAAATTATCATATTATCTTTACTAAACTAGTTAAACATCGCAAAAAAAATATTAAAACCCTAAAATCTGAAAATGTCTAACCTTGAAGAAGAGGATGAATGTTTAAAAAATATTAAAACCCTAAAATCTGAAAATGTCTAACCTTGAAGAAGAGGATGAATGTTTAGGTCGAAAAGAGATTTAATAATGGAGAGGAAGGAGAAAATCAAAGAGAATATTGGGATACTTGGCAAACAGGCCACACGACCTAAGAAATACAATGAATAAAATGTAACCCCCCCCCCCACAGTGGGGTATTCTTAGGGGTCACAATGTGGTTTTTTGTCACAATCTTCCTGTTTAAATGCATATGTTTTATGTTTCATGATAAGAATTCACAATTTAAATGTATTATGAAATCTTTTCATTTACAAACATTGTTCAATTGTAGCTTGCATTGATTTATAATGATTTCAATTTATAATTACGATTATATATTTATCCATGAATGAACATATAATTTTAAAACGTTTTTACAAGATATTAAAACGGTTTTAGTATAATTTAGATTTATAAATAGATTCTATAAATCATCAATAAAATATTTGGGGGTGTCAAAAGGGCGCCCAAGTACTTGTATCGCCTCAGATTCGTTTATAAGATACCTTTTTTACGAGTTTTCTTGGAATTGACAAGTTTTACCTCAAGTTTTGTAACTTCATGTCAACATTACTACGGCTTAGTTACTTCTATATATAAATTTGGCTTGTCTCTCTGTTTGTCTGTCTGTTTGTTTGTATCCAATAAACGTCAAAACGGCTAAACCGATCGGGCCCTATTTTTTTGTGGGACATCACGTGACCACAGGGATGCTTTACGAATGATAAAAATTAAAAAAATGCGTTTTAAAGGTTTTTAATTTTGTAAAAAAATTTAAATTCTTGAAAATCCGCGAACCTTTTTTGACTTAAATAAAAGGTTTATTGTGGAAACTCAATATCGCTGACCCCCACCACCCTGATTTTAACCATTTTGTTTAACAAATAAGTCCTTTTTTTACTCCAAGATAATGACGAGATTATCATAGTGATGGGCAATAGGTAGATTCGTTTTACAGAAACATTTAATATTTTTAGACTTCTAAAAGGTTTTACGACACTCTGAGAAGGCTTTTATCAAACATGCAAATTTGTTATCATAATTAAAAATATTTAGCAAAAATTACCCAAAAACTATTGTATTAAAAACCCAAAACGATAGTCTTAAAACAATCGTTTTTGCCTTATATTTTCTTCTATGGGAAACACATGTGCATACTGTCGTAAACCCTTTTAAAGTCTAAAAAACATTAAACATTTCTGTAAAACCATCCCTACTACACAGACGACTGTAGGTAATACATACTGTCTGTTTACTAATATTTATGATTCCCTGCAACTGTAAACGAATTTATATCTTGTATAAATCATTAAATATACGCATATTAAGTCTAAATTCAAGGCAGAAGATTAAATCTAACCTTGAAATCTGAAGAGTTACAAGTCGTACTTACAGTCTTATCTTTTGTGGGGAAGACAATGAAGATGTCTGATTGAACGCGTGAATTTAATTGCACTTTCATCTTGCCGGACTACGTTACATAAGACATGCTGGGTCTACTCTACACTGAGTAGCCCGACTCACGAACAGCCGTAGTACATTTGAATTCCCGACTATCCTGAGCCGGGTCAACCTTTCCGGTCCTAGTTTGTACTGTATCGCACGGACATTGGGTAAATAAAGCAGACACTCAATAGGACTAGCCGGTGCAACAAGGTTGACGCGGTCAGACTTTAGGTTGAATTTACTTTTACTGAAGGTTCGGAGGTGCATGGACTGGACAGTACGACTGAATGTATATACAGTACTTGTTATACCGGCACTGATCATGCAACTTTTAGACTGGGGTGAATTGTTACCTAAGGAGTCCTCTACACATGCTGAGGTTGGAGGCTGGGACCAAGGAAGGGTTAAAACACCTGAATAAAATATATTTATTATCTTTAAAAAAAGATTTAATGCATCAAGAGTTTTTAGGATTTCTACCATGGATAAATAAATAAACATAGATAGCTTATGTACGCAAAATCACCAAGAATTGTACAGTCCGCGAAATCACACTTCTTTTTTAGACCAG